ATAATAGGTCTAGTCAGCTTCAATATAATAGGTCTAGTTAGCTTCACTATAATAGGTCTGGTCAGCTTCACTATAACAGGTCTAGTCAGCTTCAATATAATAGGTCTAGTCAGCTTCACTATAATAGGTCTAGTCATCTTCACTATAATAGGTCTGGTCAGCTTCACTATAATAGGTCTAGTCAGCTTCACTACTAGGTCTAGTTAGCGTCACTATAATAGGTCTGGTCAGCTTCACTATAATAGGTCTGGTCAGCTTTACTATAATAGGTCTAGTCAGCTTCACTATAATAGGTCTAGTCAGCTTCACTATAATAGGTCTAGTCAGCTTCATTACTAGGTCTAGTCAGCTTCACTATAATAGGTCTAGTCAGCTTCACTATAATAGGTCTAGTCAGTTTCACTATAATAGGTCTGGTCAGCTTCACTATAATAGGTCTAGTCAGCTTCACTATAATAATAATAATAATTCACTATAATAGGTCTGGTCAGCTTCACTATAATAGGTCTGGTCAGCTTCACTAGAATAGGTCTAGTCAGCTTCACTATAATAGGTCTAGTCAGCTTCACTATATAGGTCTAGTCAGCTTCACTACTAGGTCTAGTTAGCGTCACTATAATAGGTCTGGTCAGCTTCACTATAATAGGTCTGGTCAGCTTCAATATAATAGGTCTAGTCAGCTTCACTATAATAGGTCTGGTCAGCTTCACTATAATAGGTCTAGTCAGCTTCAATATAATAGGTCTAGTCAGCTTCACTATAATAGGTCTAGTCAGCTTCACTATAATAGGTCTGGTCAGCTTCACTATAATGGGTCTGGTCAGCTTCACTATAATAGGTATAGTCAGCTTCAGTATAATAGGTCTAGTCAGCTTCACTATAATAGGTCTAGTCAGCTTCACTATAATAGGTCTGGTCAGCTTCAATATAATAGGTCTAGTTAGCGTCACTATAATAGGTCTGGTCAGCTTCACTATAATAGGTCTAGTCAGCTTCACTATAATAGGTCTGGTCAGCTTCACTATAATAGGTCTAGTCAGCATCACTATAATAGGTCTAGTCAGCTTCACTATAATAGGTCTAGTCAGCTTCACTATAATAGGTCTAGTCAGCTTCAATATAATAGGTCTAGTTAGCGTCACTATAATAGGTCTGGTCAGCTTCACTATAATAGGTCTGGTCAGCTTCACTATAATAGGTCTAGTCAGCTTCACTATAATAGGTCTAGTCAGCTTCACTATAATAGGTCTGGTCAGCTTCACTATAATAGGTCTAGTCAGCTTCAATATAATAGGTCTAGTTAGCGTCACTATAATAGGTCTGGTCAGCTTCACTATAATAGGTCTAGTCAGCTTCACTATAATAGGTCTGGTCAGCTTCACTATAATAGGTCTAGTCAGCTTCACTATAATAGGTCTAGTCAGCTTCACTATAATAGGTCTAGTCAGCTTCACTATAATAGGTCTAGTCAGCTTCAATATAATAGGTCTAGTTAGCGTCACTATAATAGGTCTGGTCAGCTTCACTATAATAGGTCTGGTCAGCTTCACTATAATAGGTCTGGTCAGCTTCACTATAATAGGTCTAGTCAGCTTCACTATAATAGGTCTGTGAATGACCTCAGTGCAATGTGCAGCCATCAACTCTACTGTACATCAGCAGTCACATTCAGTGGTGTGTTTTTCTCTTGGTCATGTAACGTTTCCTATAGCAAATAGTGAAGACGTACAGTGAGGGAAAAAAGTATTTGATCCCCTGCTGATTTTGTACGTTTGCCCACTGACAAAGACATGATCAGTCTATAATTTTAATGGTAGGTTTATTTGAACAGTGAGAGACAGAATAACAACAACAAAAATCCAGAAAAACGCATGTCAAAAATGTTATAAATTGATTTGCATTTTAATGAGGGATATAAGTATTTGACCCGCGTTTTTCACATGCGGTTTTCTGGATTTTTTTGTTGTTATTCTGTCTCTCACTGTTCAAATAAACCTACCATTAAAATGATAGACTGATAATTTCTTTGTCAGTGGGCAAACGTACAAAATCAGCAGGGGATCAAATACTTTTTTCCCTCACTGTACAGCCTGAGTATCTTCATTGTATACACACAATGCACAAACTATGCAAATAACAATTTATATCAGCTTTTAATAATTAATAATTTAATAATTAATAATTACAGAGGCTTAGTCAAAACATGTGACTATCAATTGCTAAAAGAGTTCAAATATGCTCTATAGGACTATGGATTATAACACAATAGAGACTTGAAATCCTGTTACATGTATAATTATTCCCCTGGAAAATAAAAAATAAAAACTATTTGAAACAGAATGTGTATTATATTGCTTCTTAACCACACCTCAGGGTTGTTATGGCGACAACACGGACAGGAATATACCCTCATGATAAATAGCTCTACATCATCAAAAATACGGTGTTCCTTCCTGTTCCTGTGGTTCTTAACATAAGATCTCATCTCAAAGTGTGCCCTCAAGTCGACAGTGAATACTGACAAAGACGATCGTAGTCACTACCATAGAAATATAATTAATTATATTTCTATGGTTTCTGTGGTCTATTTCTATGGACTAGAACTTTAATGCTGTGATGTCATACTACAGTCATCAGACATATCAAGGTCCGTTTTCCCCGTCACAGATCACACGCACATCCACCCATACATATCATTTGTTGTGCTCTGAGATGTAGATCCAAAATAACTTTCCATAAATACTGTCATTGGGATTTTAGCTAGCACCCTAATTTTTTTACTCGGGAAATTCAAATATCAAGAAGTTTAAACTGTTAAGGTCCGGAATATAATCCCAAAGCAAACTGAGTGGAAAATACAACTTCAGACCGTTTCAAACAAACTCAGTGGAGAGAGTAATAAACTACATTTTAAACTCATCTACATTATGATGAGTGAATCTCTGCCTTTTTGGACTTCCTGGTGAAAGTACGAGGAGACCCTGCCTTGAAAACATGGAGGGAAATTATGCTCAACTCAACCAAATGCAAAGTTTTGATTTACATTTGGTTGAGTTGTCAACCAATGTGAAATCAACCAAAAATATCACGATGTCATTGGATTTAGGTTAAAAGGTGGGTGAAAAAAAGACTAAATTCCTTTACGTTGATTACTTTTTTCAAATCAAATCACATTTCTACGTTGATTCAACATCACATTTCATTTTGGGGTTGAAATGACGTGGAAACAACGTTGATTCGACCAGTTTTTGCCCAGTGGGTTTTTAGCTCTGTGGATGCATACAAATGTCTTCCTCTTCAACAAAACACATCAAAACACCACCATAAATTAAATACATCTCTAATACTTCAATTATCATACACAAAAAGTAAACATTCATACCAAATTGATTCCTAGTGGAATCTGTGTCTCTCTTTGCTTGCCAAACAAGTTGAACTCTTCTCATTCTGATACCAGGTTTAGTGTTTGTTCACCTACTTTTTCCCATATAGTGCATACACTTGACTGATATCTGTCTTCAACAACATGCAGTGTTGGGGTCAATTCCTTTTCAACCAGGAAATACATTGAAATTCCATTTCAATTTTACTCAATGCTTCTCGTTGCGAAACATGTAGAATTGGAAATTCAGTTTACTTCCACAGAGTCTGCAAAATGACGTTGAGCGAGCAGCACCACAGATATTGAGATGAGCAAGATTCAAGACTTCACTCTCACACAGTCACACACAGTATCTGTGCATGTGCACGGGTTCACTTCACGCACTTACAACATGGTAGCCACAGGACCAAAACAGCAGAGAAGCTGAGCGTCGCAATCTAACTCTCTAAGTTGTTGCGTAAAATTGACCCACTATGCTGTTTACTTTGTGCATCTACGTCATATCGCTGACTCTACCTTTAATTGAAATGGAATTGACCCCAACCCTGTAACTCTGGGTCATTCATTCCTGATAGAATGTCTTCAACCCCAAAGCCCTAAACATTAGTTCAGGGTATACAGTAATAAACTAATGTGATAATGTGTGTTATTCCTCTCAGAGGACATAGAAGACTGTGAAAGAAAGCATGATGGTTGACGATTGGAAAGCCCTGACTGCCAGTGCCAAGCACTGTGCCATGTCATGTTCAGGAGACTACAGTAGGGGGAGCTGTTGGCACACAGTTCAGCTTCCTGTGGAAGACAGTATAATGATTTATGAACAATTGAATTTACATTTTCAATACTGTGTTTAAAACCCTCAAGTAAACAAGGCCAGCTATTGAAATAAGGTTGAATACATGGCAAGTGAAAACTAAGGGCAACAACTTTGCTACTGTACCAATTTAGAAATTCATCTGATGTGATCTCCTTTCAGGGTATACATGTCTGTGTCAGAGAATACACTGTACTGTCTCTAAAATCAACCTACAACCCAGTGAAAAGGGCGAGAGAGAAAACTTCATTTCACAAGCAGAAGTGCAGATACAGTCGAAACTGTAAATGTTTCCCCTTTTTCCTACAAAGATATTCACCGCATAATTTCTAAATGAGAAACAGTAGAAAATGAAACCCCTGCAAAGCTGGTTCTGGTTTTGCATTTAAATGAGGTTGATTTCAGAAGTCCTTAAATCCCATAGCGATTAGGCTGCTGTTGTGTTTGATAGTGTAGTATTTTCCACATTACAGCCAGGTCCCTGTGTATCTACTTCCTTCCTTCCATCCTACTGACAGAGCAGCTCTGTCTCACCTGTGACCGCTCTATCCCACTCTGGGGGACCTTCTTGCTTATTCAGAAAACTGCAGTGTTGTTTCAAGTTGCAGTTTCTTCAGGATACATGAGGATATTCCTAAGTTTCAACAAAACAAGCATCATCATAACAATTAATTAGTAAGTATAGTTTAAATAAGTCAACGTAAATAAAAATGATTGTTATGGACATAATTCATAATGAACTTAGAAGCCTGTTGTGAAGTTGTAGCGTTGGAAACTCAGAGACCTCATCATCCTCTCCACTTCTCATCTATCCATCAGAAGTTTCAAAGCTCTCTCTATGTTCATCCGATGTCCGACCCTGGTCACCCCTAGGTCTATGAGGTCGTCCTTCTGCAGGCTAGGCAGGTGGCTGCCCTCAATGTCGTTGTCCATGAAGGTGTCTCTGTGCTCAGCCAGGTTTAGGCTCTCCAGCCAGTCGGCCACGTCGTGTTTGCTCCACATCAGAACCGGCTTGGTGGCAAAAGGCTTGTTGGAGACGGCCTGGATGAGGGTGAGAGGGGAGGGCGAGCGGCTGCTCCCCGTGCCCAGGCTGAGAGGGGGGGTGGGAAGGCCGAACACGTCTGATAGGGTGGGGGAGGTGGCAGGGAGAGAGGAGGCACAGCCGAGGCCTGAGTCTGGGGGAGAGAGGATGGGGCTGGGGGCTTGGTGGTGGGGGAGGTTCTCTGTCTGTTGGTTTGGAGATGGGGCAGGCACATTCAGGGGGAGCTGGGCAGCAAAAGAGACTGTGGTATTCCGCTGTGTACCTGAGGCGAGGGACCCACTGTCCGGACCCCTACAGAAAGTACAGAACACACTAGGTTAAGGATGAGAGAGAGAGAGAGAGAGAGAGAGAGAGAGAGAGAGAGGAGAGAAGAGAGAGAATAGAGAGAGAGGAGAATGAGAGATAGAATGATAGAGAGAGATGTAGAGAGTCTGTAGTCGTCTCAGATCTTAGCTATCGAGTATCATGCGCTGCGATCGCTCTGTCTCCGCTTCTCCGGCTCCTCTGCTGCGCCGTCTCGTCCTCCTCGCAGCTCTCTCGCTCGTATCCTCTCTGCTCTCTCGCTTCGCTCGTCTCTTGCTCTCCTGCTCTCGCTCTCTCGCCTCTCTCGCGTCGCTGCGTCTCTCTTCTTCTCTCTCTTCGCTCGCTCCTCTCTCGCTCTCTCTCTCTCCTCTCGTCTCTCGCTCTCTCTCGCTCTCTCTCTCTCTTCTCTCCTCTCTCTCCTCCGCCGCCCCTCACCTATGTTCGAGGACAAGAGAGAAAGAGGTGTTGTTTATCAGACAATAATGAGCTGAAACATTAGTCAGAGACACTGAGTCAGCATGACAAACAAACTGAAATATTCCACAACTACACCTGGATGCAAACAAACGTAGTCCTCCCCCCTGCAGTATAGACTCATCCTCCCTCCCTGACTGTTCTAACTAGGCCAGTAAGAGACGGACACTTTGATGTCTCTCCTCCTGTGAGGAAAGGAAGAAGTAGTCCACCTGACCTGACATACCTACTGGAGGATAATACACTGACCTGACAGACCTACTGGAGGATAATACACTGACCTGACAGACCTACTGGAGGATAATACACTGACCTGACAGATCTACTGGAGGATAATACACTGACCTGACAGACCTACTGGAGGATAATACACTGACCTGACAGACCTACTGGAGGATAATACACTGACCTGACAGACCTACTGGAGGATAATACACTGACCTGACAGACCTACTGGAGGATAATTCACTGACCTGACAGATCTACTGGAGGATAATACACTGACCTGACAGACCTACTGGAGGATAATACACTGACCTGACAGACCTACTGGAGGATAATACACTGACCTGACAGACCTACTGGAGGATAATACACTGACCTGACAGACCTACTGGAGGATAATACACTGACCTGACAGATCTACTGGAGGATAATACACTGACCTGACAGACCTACTGGAGGATAATACACTGACCTGACAGACCTACTGGAGGATAATACACTGACCTGACAGACCTACTGGAGGATAATACACTGACCTGACAGACCTACTGGAGGATAATACACTGACCTGACAGACCTACTGGAGGATAATACACTGACCTGACAGACCTACTGGAGGATAATAGACTGACCTGACAGTCTTTCCCTAAACTACACCAACTCCTTCAAAACTGCAGACTGGAAGGAGACTACAGTGTGTGTGTGTGTGTGTGTGTTTGTGTCTGTGTGTGTGTGTATGTGTGTGTGTCCGTGTGTGTGTGCGTGTCCTTGTGTGTGTGTGTCTGTGTGTGTGTGTGTTTGTTTCCATGTGTGTGTGTTTATGTTTGTGTGTGTGTATGTGTGTGTGCATGTATGTGTATGTGTGGTGTGTATGCTTGTGTGTCTGTGGTTAAGTGTGTATGTGTGGTGGTAATGTGTGTGTGTGGGTGTGTTGTGTGGTATGTGTATGTGTAGGTGAGTGTATGTGTATGTGTATGTGTATGTGTATGTGTGTGTGTATGTGGTGTGTGTGTGTGTGTGTGTGTGTGTGTGTGGTGTGTATTGTAGTGTATGTGTTGTGGGGTATGTGTGTGTGTTGTGTATGTGTAGTGTAGGTTGTGTGTGGTGTGTGTTGTGTATGTGTGTATGTGTATGTGTGTTGTGTATTGGTGGTGATGTGTGTGTATGTGGTTGTGTGTGTTGTGTGTGTGTGTGTGTGTGTGTGTGTGTGTGGTGTATGGTGTATGTGTTGTGTGTGTATGTTGTGTGTGTGTGTTGGTGTGTATGTGTATGTGTATGGTATGTGTGGGGGTATGGGTGATGTGTGGTTGTGTATGTGTGTGTGGTGTATGTGTGTGTGGTGTGTATGTGGGTGTGTTTGGTGTGTATGTGTGTGTGTGTGTATGGAGTGTGTGTGTGTGTGTCTGGGTGTATGGTATGTGCATGTGTATGTGTATGTGTGTGTGGGGGTGTGGTGTGGTAGGTGTGAGGGGTGGGGGATGTGTGGTATGTGTATGTGTTGGTTATGTGTATGTGTAGTGTATGTATGTGGTGTATGGTGTGTGTGTGTGTGTGTGTGTGTGTTGTGTGTGTGTGTGTGTGTGTGTACGTGTATGTGCATGTGTATGTGTATGTGTGTGGATGTGTATGGGTGTGTGTGTGTGTGTGTGTGTGTGTGTATGTGGTGTGGTGTGTGGTGTATGTGTATGTGTATGTGTGTAGGTGTGTGTGTGTGTGTGTATGTGTATGTGTATGTGTATGTGTATGTGTGTGTGTGTGTTTATGTATGTGTGTGTGTGTGTGTTTATGTATGTGTATGTGTGTGTGTGTGTGTGTTTATGTATGTGCATGTGTGTGTGTGTGTGTTTATGTATGTGTATGTGTATGTGTGTGTATGTGTGTGTGTGTGTATGTGTGTGTGTGTGTATGTGTGTGTGTGTGTGTATGTGTATGTGTATGTGTATGTGTATGTGTATGTGAGTGTATGTGTGTGTGTGTGAGCTTGTGTCAGACGAGAGTGAAGTATAAGAACAAGTATAAAATGGAGCTTGGAAGTTGGAAGTTGGAAGTTGGAAGTTGGAAGTGGGGAATTCATTCTAAATACAAAGAAACTAACAGTGTTTCCTTCCCATAGAAAGTGACAGCCATTTCTTTGAAAGTGTCAGAAGATCTCTATTCATTTAGTCACACTATGTATCAGGTTGAATCAGGTTAACCTAATATCTCATTCTGATCATGGACGTTCTCTGCCCTGCAGTATATTCAGCTTGAACCACACTGTTAGCAGAGCTTTACTGGTACAGCCATGACTTTTAGAGTTAGCCTCATCTGGTCTGCTCTGTAAATAACCACAGCTTTCCATAATAAATGAGTCTGCTACTATCACAGGGGACTGCTGTAGGGAGGAACGCACAGTGTCTGTAAGAAATGTCATGCCGGCTTTATGTAGCCTGCTGTACAAACCAGATATATGCCATTTACACAAATAGACATACCGTACATGCAGCGATAAACAAATGTACAGACCATAACCTGCATACGCTAAGGTGACATAAATACACACAAATATGCATTCATAAATACACACAAATATGCATTCATAAATACACACAAATATGCATTCATAAATACACACAAATATGCATTCATACTGGCAAAAACCAACTACACAATAGGCTACAATCATACATCCCACACCTACAACACTCCACAGCCTACATCTGTTGGAGCCTCAATGTATACATACACATTACTCTCTAGTCTACAATGCCAATCTACTTCTGGTGATCTTAGGTGACTGGTAGAGGAATGAAGAGGAGTGTTAACTGACGAGAGAGGCCCATTGATACTTGACCAACTCTGTGTTTGTTGAAATGATAGACGATAGAGAGAGACAGGTCACACACCATCCATCCCTGTTAAAAGAGACTGTGGGTGCATCTCAAATGGCACACTATTCCCTATTCCCCTATGAGCCCTGATGTAGGGAATAGGGTGCCATTTGGCACGCAGTCTCTGTGCTATTTTGAACCGTGCTGCTAGCGACACAGAGTGACATACCGCTCAACCCTTCCTTCGGACGAAAGCACTGTGGTAGTTTGGTCTCTATGATAATCAGACTGACATGACGTTGTTGCTCATCTACTCCTCAAGCCTGCTGCTCTCATTATTAGGTTGCTAGGCAACTCTTTCTGCACTCCGGCAGAACACACACACACACCCGCACACACACACACACACACACACACACACACACACACACACACACACACACACACACACACACACACACACACACACACAAGGAGTAGCCTACCTTGATCCAAAAACAGTCCTACATCCTGAGGAAGAAGGGTCTATCCCCTCCCCTGGCTTTGGTGTCCTGTCCTTGTTCTGCATGTCCTGGGGGTTAGAGCCTGGAGGGTCTCCCCATAGCTTGGAGGTTCTTTGAGTTGGTGTTCTGGGGGGCTCTGAGGGGACGCCAGCCCCGGGTGGAGGCGGCGGGATGGAGAAGGGTGCGCCGAAAGTTGTTATGTTCTCCTCTCTATCCATCAAGGCGGGGTCCTTGTAAAGTGCGTTGCTCTTGTTGGCGGCAGGTTGCCTGGTTCTTGACTTTGAAGTCCGGTCCACCAGAAAGGCCTGTCTGTCTGCATAGACCGTACATGTGTTGTCCAGCGCCTCGCTGCCCTCTGACGACAGCGTGGAGATACTAGACACAGTGGACACAGTGCTTGTAGTCTCCAGCTGGGGGTCTCCACTACTGCGGCTGTCCGGCTCCACATCGATGCCCGAGTCACTGATAGGATCGTAGCTCTCCAAGAGGGCGGGGGGGAAGCTGGGGGGCGTACAGTTGGTGAGCACCGCTGGCCGTTTGATCGTGGTCTGGTCAGGGTGCCCTGCGGTGTTACCGTGATGGGGATAGAAGGGGGCTAGAGACGATGGGGCCCTGCCAGCATTTCGTTGCTGTTTGAGGAGCTCAGCGATCGCCCCCTTTTGGTCCTCTGGGATGTCGAAGCTGTTGGCGAACTCCAGCGGCGGTGGCAGTGGGTCAGCAAAGAACTCATCGTCGATGTCCACAGAGGGAACACAGGGTGGAGGGGGGATACCGAAGGGTAGTTTGACCGGCTCGTCCACTGAGGTGACGGTGATCATGGTCTTACTACCTCTGGGTCCAGGGCCCATAGAATGGGGATTGTGGGGGTTAGGGGAGGCCATTTTGGGGGTGTTAGGTTGGTTGGGGTCCCGGAGCTCACTGGGGGTGCTGTCTGGACTGACCGCCCCGTCCCTCTCCCCCTCAGACAGGTTGTTCTCGTCAGTGGTGTGGACCATCAGCAGCCCAGTTGACTTATGCTGAGACGTATCCACAATATCTATCAACATGTTCTTCTTCTCCTCTTCTCTCTGAGGACGGGATAGACTCTTGTCCTTGTCTTTGGCCAAAGGGTGGTCGTATTTGGACTCTGTCTCGTACTTGGCCTCGGTCATCTGCCTACGAAGCCCCGCCCTGCCCGGTCGACCCATGGTCGCGGTCGAGGAGAAATTTGCGCCCATGCCTGTCCTCAGCTTGGTGTCGATGAACAGAGGCTTGTTCAGGTCAGGTTTAGGCGGTTCAGTCTTCAGCGGGAGAGGCTGGGACTGCTCTCTCATGGCCCGGTCCCGTGCAGCCAGAGCCAGGGCCAGAGGGGAGTTGGGGTCCAGAGGCTTCCCTGTGACTGGATGGACGTAGTGCCCACTACTGGAGGTATAGGTCTTGGCAGGGAGACTGACCGGGCTGTGGTGGCCAGTGCGCGTGTGGAGCGGCTCTCTCACAATGGTGGGCTCTGGGGTGTTGAAGACCGTCATGTTACACCCTCTTCTGGGGATGCTGAGCAGCGAGGCAGGTGGGGCCATGAGGCGACGCAGGCGCTCGTCACTACTGAACATTCCCTCATCGATGGACTTGGAGTGGCGGAGGCGAGGCGCAGGCGCGGGAGGCGAGTCTTCGTCGCCCTGGTCGGTGAACCTGTAGGATGGGGAGTTCTGGTGAGACTCCACCATCCTCCTCTCACGCTCCCGCACGGCGCCCGCCATGGCCGTGGCAAAGGGACTGCTGGGGTTGTGTCCGTCATCTGGCCGGAGCTGTCCTGGGTGGTCATGGGCACCAGTCTCTATCTCCATACTGCTGCCCTGGCTGCTCTTCCCACTGCTAGATGTAGACGGCTCCTTGATGATGATGGTTGGGATTTTGATGGTGCAGGTCTTCTCTGGGCTGTCCTCAATCTTGTTCTGCTTCACCAGCATGCCCTTCCTCCTCTGGGGCTTGTTGGGGGCAAACAGGCCCAGGTTGCCCATCTTCCCCAGGTCTGAGTAGGGGTTCTCTGGGATCTGAGCCCTGCGGTTCAGGAAGCTCTGCTGGGCTGTGAGGCCTGGGCTCTGGCTACCCTGGGGTTGGTTCTCAGACTGATACTGCTCCGACTGGGGCTCTCTGTAGGACATACCCCCCTGTTCCCTCCATCCGGCCCTGCCGCCCGTGTTGGGGTCCCCCCCTCGTTCTGGGGCGGTGCCTTTGGGAACAGTGTGTCTGATGGTGCCGTAGCCTCTGCCCGGGGGGTTGGGGTCGTTGTTGTAAGGGGGAGATGGAGGGGAGCTGGCGGGTGGGGGTGGGATGTCCTCTGATGTGTCCGGCATGGAGAGGCTCCTGGTGAATTTCAACATGGGAGGGGTCAGGAACTGAGGGGCATCCTCTTCTGTTATTCCTGAAAAAGAAAAAAAGAAACATACATGGACTATTACATTACATTAACGGCAATTATAGAATTGAAACCTTCAAGTGTTTGTGTGTGCAAAAATTAATAAATAATCGAATACAGATGTGTGTGTGTGTGTGTGTGTGTGCATGTCTGTGCGTGTGTGTGTGAGCGTGCATGCCTGTGCACGCATGTGTACTGTATGTAAGTGTGTACTGTACAGTATGTATGAAGGTTAAAAATTTAGCATTGACAGAAACATGTTGAGATGTAGTTACCAGATGTTCCTATGGACTTCTGTCGTCTCATGGTCCCCTGTCTGTTTGGCACCCCCAGGAAGGGGCCTCGACCTCTGGGGCTGCCTGGCTCTCTGGGCTGGGTCTGGGTCTGGGTCTGGGTCTGGGTCTGGGTCTGCATCGACATGTCCTGGCTCTCACACATGGACTGTAACAAAGAGAGGAGAGGAGACTGAGCCTGCATTGGAAACAGTCCACTAGAGTTATCTGAACTGATCTTTCTGCATCAGTTTATAGATCAGTTAGGATTGTTATAATGATTGTTGATGTACATTTCCTTTCATTTTATTTATCATTTATTTCGTAGCCCTTTACACTCGTACCCGTATACGGGTTGAAAATGGCAACAACAAAAAATATTTTGCATTTCCATATCATAAAACTGATGTAATATACTGTGTCAATGTTTATGATGACTATGTTAGATGTACAGTTGCAAGATGACATGGTGTTATACCCTGGGTTGTCCTAAACAGAATGAGACTATGTCTGTTGTACACCTAAATGCACTCATGACCCCATTCTATGCGCACCAAAATTACGATCTGCTTCTCTGAATTGCTTTGTGAAAGCCTAACACTGTAATATCGTATTTTATAATTTAGCTAGTTATGTTGGCAATAGAACAAGATTATTAATTATGGTTACCTGACCCAGATTGCGATTTATAATGGACCGTTTTTGCATTGAGTAAACACCAACAGTAATTGTGTAAAGGCGGGGATGCAGGGCTGTGTTCCAAACAAAACAACTACAAGTGTGCTTGCTCTAGTTCCTCAACGGCACAGCTAGGAGTAATAAAAATGCATTGAAATTAATTAGGAACTGTGCACACATTGGAGAGGTGTGGGGCCACTTGGAAACACCAATTAGACCTCTCACTCAAACCCTTTTAAATTTTTTTTGTCTTATGTTGCGCCTACTGTACCCCAAATGTTCCAAGAATATTATTATCATGTTACTGAATGTATCCATGTACTTTTTTTTATTTTGTTATCAACAAATGCGGCGAAAAGTACAGTAAATGTAAAATGCACATAAAATCAACAGTGTAATGTTTGGATTCAGTCTTATGTCAGGTGAACGGTTGTGTCCTCAACTTTTGTCTAATAATTTTCCCATAATCTCCAAACTGTTCCCTTTTACTTGCTTCCAATGGTTATGCATATGCTTCCTTATTTCTTCTGTAAGAAACATTTCAATTTAGCCCTATCCATATAGGCCAATTCCCACGAGTGTAAGGGGTTAACCAAACACGTTTATTTGTCCTCTGCTGCAGGTCAACTTGTGAAAGATATAATGGAAAAGTAAGAACAAGAAGCTGTTTAAACCTAAATACTAGTTGAGAAGCAAATCAGGGCCATGCACAGCTCCTAACAGATAAAGTCCATCAGGACCATGCACAGCTCCTAACAGATAAAAGTCCATCAGGGCCATGCACAGCTCCTAACAGATAAAAGTCCATCAGGGCCATGCACAGCTCCTAACAGATAAAAGTCCATCAGGGCCATGCACAGCTCCTAACAGATAAAGTCCATCAGGACCATGAACAGCTCCTAACATATAAAGCACATCATGCACTTCCTTATCCAGCCAGCATAGAGCAGTAAATTGCAATGGTGCAGCCACCAGCATTCTCGCATCATAGATCGCTATGGGCTTGCTCCAGTGTCACATAGCAACGAACTACACACACAACACATACAATAATAAAACACATACACATTCCTCACAACAGAGTAGTGTAGACAGCAGTAGAATAAAGCCTGTTTAGTGGTTATACTTACGTTCATCTCTGGGTTCATGGCCAAGCACCTGCTGTTGGGCCGTGTTTTGACTGTGTTAGCGATCCTTATGTCAGTGTTAGAGTTGTCCTTCTGAGGAGGCATGTTTTCTTCCACTTTATCTGGAACACAAAGACAGACAGACACCGCTCCACTGTGAGTATAGGATACTTTAGCCTACATTCTACATCTGTCTCCAAGCTAAAATGAGCCATCATCTCAGGCAATGACAATCCATTCCGTCAGTCAGAATGGAAATCAAACTGAGCAGAAAGGAAAGAGAACAGAAATAGTCACACTGACATTGGTCAAAGTCAAAGCCGTGCAAAGCTAGCTATCACTTTCATTTGGTTCTATGATTTAGCTGTTTTGGTATCTTTTTTAGCTCCTTGCCAGTGTCCCAAATCGCACCCTATACAGTCCACTACATTTGAGAAGAGCCAATAAGGCTTTGGTCAAAAGTAGTGCAGCATGTGGGTCAGGGTGCCATTTAGGACGAACCATTTAAATAATTGACAATGAGTGACAAGAAGTTGATAAGACAGTACAAACTGATCTGGACCAGGCTATGGTTCAACGGCAAACAGATCTGGACCAGGCTATGGTTCAGCGGCAAACTGCACAACCAACATGCTAGTGTTTTATTTTTTTATTTTTTTTGAGCGCTCCCATGCATGGGACGATTACTTAGAGTGACTGAGAATACAATCCTCTTCTTCAGACGCTCATTATCTGAAGACTGATCATCTAGAACAGGAAGAAAAGGTAGTTCAGATAGGGACATCCATACGGTATCTATAGTTATTTTGATTATACATTCAAACACCCTTCTCCCTCACTGCTGTCAAAAAATCTGTTAACTGAGGAGAAAGGGCTTTAGGCTATATCCTACTGTCTTCATGAAATACATTATTACTGAATTATATCTAACCAAGAGCAGGTTGACATTTATTGTTATGAGTCTTGTCCTGAAGGTAGAACTGAGCAATGTCCCTTTAGATAGGCCAGCTGCAAAGTTAAAATTGGCTATATTGTAAAAATTCATGAAAACAAAAATGTTTGGTCTTACTTTAAGGTTAGGGTTAGGCATTAAGATTAGCAGTGTGGTTAAGGTGACTTTGTGGCTGTGCCAGCTAGTGACCACTCTGCAGAGCTGCCTCCAGAACAAGATTCATGGTGAAAAAGGCTAACCTGCTAACCAAGAGCTGTTTATGTATGATAAACATTGTCTGCTATTAGTGTATTAATAACCTATACCGTACAGTGTATGGCAAATGATAAACATGACTGTTATCTCTGTTTAAACCCTGTTGACAAAACAGCTTCATACACTAATACTCTGATCCTTCTGTCTGCATACAAAGCTTTCAGACATGACCAAGTGTGTACTGTATAATTAAGATGGAGAAGATTCCAGCGCTGCCTAAAAACATTCTAACCAACACCGGCCGCCCACCCACCTACTTACCCACCCACCCCCTCTTCATACAGCTATATCTGTTTCTCTCTCTCTTCTCTCTCTCTCTCTCTCTCGCTCTCTCTCTCTCTCTCTCTCTCTCTCTCTCGCTCTCTCTCTCGCTCTCTCTCTCGCTCTCTCTCTCGCTCTCTCTCTCTCTCACATCCGCTGGCTACAGTAACATTACAGTATTTATGGCAGTAAGGAACCCTGGTGGATTGATGTGAAGAAGCCACTCATTCTAAGACACCTCAGTGTCTGGTGTCACCATGCATTCTAGAATTCTAGAAGCATTCCTGCATATCTCCAGTGTTCTGGTGTGAAGTACTGAACACAGAACGAGGCCGATACAGCTGAATAATGTGTCTAAGACTAGGCAGCAGCAGGACTGTACACTCTTAGAAAAAAAGGTGCTATCTAGAATCTAAAAGGGTTCTTTGGCTGTCCCCATAGGAGAACCCTTTGAAGAACCCTTTTTGGTTCCAGGTAGAACCTTTTTGGGTTCCATGTAGAACCCTTTCCACAGAGGGTTCTACATGGAACCAAAAAGGGTTCTACCTGGAACCAAAAAGGGTGCTCCTATGGGGTCAGCCTAAAAACCCTTTTGGAACCCTTTTTTCTAAGAGTGTATGGAATATTTTTTGCAGGTAGAATGCTGTGCTGTTATAGCTGACAACGCACTGTACTCTATGCAGCATTATTGCCATGGCAACATCTTGTTTCTGTATGAGTATGAGTCAAAGCCTATCTGTAATGGGCCCATTGTATAACAGTGTTGTGCCCTTAAAGTTAAGTCTGTAGTGTATTCTGAGAAGGTAGCTAGCTACTCTTTGATATATGCAGCTGACTGTTGTGCATTTTCTCTAGGCCTTCTAGTTCTTATTCCATAAAGGTGTTACAGATCCTTTTATCATTACAGAAAACAGTACAACCATTTTAGAAGGTTAGAAATATGTGGTAAAAGATGAGGGATGCATCCCAATCCCAAATGCCCCCCTATTCCTTTTATAGTACACTACCTTTAACCAGGGCCCATAGGGCTTTGGTCAAAAGTAGTGTACTCCATAGGGAATAGAGCGCAATTTGGGACACATTCAAGATCTCTGCTGTTGCTTTTTCCTGATCTTGCATAACTGTGTCTAAAAGAGGGGCAGGACCATGAATAATGCATGGGAATAGCATTGCACTCTCACACTGAACTGAAGTACGTACTGTACGCTTTGCTGTGAAAAGTTAGTCTTTAAAAAGGTTATAGTTCAGAAGTGCATTTTCATATGTTCTTAATGTTCCGACACCCCTGTTTAGGTTACAACCCATAGACAACAAACACTAGTTCACCTTAATACCCACTAAATTCCCTCTAAAGTCTAGTGAGAATGCGTGTGTAAAGTACATTGAGTATATCAAACTTTAGGAACACCTTCCAAATATTGAGTTGCACCCCCTTTTGCCCTCAGAACAGCCTCAATTCGTCAGGGCATGGATTCTAGAAGATGTCGAAAGCATTCCACAGGGATGCTGGCCCATGTTGACTCCAATGCTTCCCACATTTGTGTCAAATTGGCTGGATGTCCTTTCGGTGGTGGACCATTCTTGATACACACACAAAACTGTTGAGCGTGAAAAACCCAGTACTGTTGCAGTTCTTGACACAAATCAGTACGGCTGGTACCTACTACCATACCCCGTTCAAAGGCACTTGAACCTTTTGTCTTGACCATTCATCCTCTGAATGGCACACATACACAATCCATGTCTCAATTGTTTCAAGGCTTAAACATCATTCTTTAACCTGTCTCCTCCCCTTCATCTATACTGATTGAAGTGGATTTAACAAGTGACATCAATAAGGGATCATAGCTTTCACCTGGATTCACCTGGTCAGTCTATGTCATGGAAAGAGCAGGTGTTCTTAATGTTTTGTACACTCAGTGTATAGCTAAGGATCTAGTGAGTGAGAGAAAGGATCATCAAGTATGTAGCATTAATTCTAATTGAACACAATCATAAACAAATAGGGATCTAGTAAATAAAGTCAAAGGCGCATCAAGTATGTTGTACATGTACTGTATAAAGCATGCCTATCACACTTACCACCCATCTTTTTCCTCAAAGTGGCTTACAAATAAGAAAATATAAAGAACTTATATAACAGATGATGATCAAAAGCAATCAACAAAATAATCTCTCACCATGAACACAGGCTATTATGCAAAGATAGTGTAATATTGTCATTTAAAGCTGCATTATATTATACCCACTACTGACCACTATAGGCCTAGTTATATTTTCATTAAGCAATTGTATACAAGCTTCCAAACATGCCACTTGCGCCATAGACAAAGACGTAGAATGACCAGTAATCCCATAGACATAGAATGATCGGTCCAATCATGATATTTCTATGACTGGCCCTTCAAAAGACATCTACTGCAGAACAGTGATAAGCCACAGATGAGTCAGCAATAAGGTAAAAGCTTTTCAAAAGGTGAGTTATATCAAATCCATTTACATACAGCATACAGCTCTGAGGTAAATCAATCAAACAACAAATTAAATGATTAAGTAAATTCAAAATAATTTAAAAAGCGTATTAAGGTAGATTTATGATGACACAGCATGGAATTATGCAATTGTTATGATGGTTCTAAAGCGCTTCAAAATGATCAGTCATGCTAATGATCTCTTTATCACTTTAGATGATTCAGCACTGTCGTTAAAATGTTTTCTCTCCAGCTCTCTTCAGATCAAACCCTACAGAGCAGAATACCTTTGTACCTTTTTACAAAGTACATAATTGCCCAAGCCCCCTCAAAGCAGAATAAATATAGTCATCTACTAAATGACGGAAATTAACATTTAAAAATGAGAGAATCAAAAACATGAAGACAGTGAGATGCGTGCAGCTGTGACCGAACAGTAGCTACATACCTTTGTCCACTGCAGAGGTAGGTATTGAAAAACAAATCAGGAGTGCACAGTAACTTTTAAAAAAGTTTTCCAGATAATGAAATCACTAAACAAACACACAGAGAACAAACCAAGAGCATACAAAAGGCATTTGACCCCTTGGAATTATATTCTCACAGGTACACAGGTGTATGGAGGATGCTTTGCTGATTCTTACCTAGGTCCTCCAGCTCTGAGGTCATGGATTTGGAACGCATGGCCCTGGACAGGGCAGTGGGAGGAGCTCTACGTGGAGGTGTGGCCACTGCAACAACACAACACAGAAAAGCAGGGGTGTATTCAGGGATGTGAAACACCCTGAACGTTTCAGATAGAATAGAGTCAGCTCTATCAGAAACTATCTGACAGAAAATCATTTCTGTTCTACATTGTACATTTCTATCTGAGCGTTCTGTAATGTTACATCATCCTGTACAGGCCCCAGGTGTGAGAATTATAGTAGACAGCACAGGAGATTGGTGGCACCTTAATTGAGGAGGACGGGCTCGTGGTAATGGCTGGAGCGGAATTGTGGAATGGTATCAAACACATGGTTTCTATGTGTTTGATGCCATTCCATTTGCTCCGTTCCAGCCATTATTATGAGCCGTCCTCCCCTCAGTAGCCTCCACTGGTAGACAGGGATGTTAAAAAGTAGGCTAACTTTTTTAAATGCCTGTGCTGCAGCAACGCTGCATTGTTAATGTCTCGCAGGGTGACGCCAAGCAAGCACCAAGTTCATTAGCAATCATCTAACAAAACATCTAAAAATGTATTTCCCAAATATGCCCCTGACAGTGTAGTTACATCCACTTTGAATTTTACCTGAGCTGCAGTACAGGTACATTTTTGAATGCACCAACTGTAAAACCACCGTCTCAACTTCAAGGCTGAAAAGCACGTCATCAATGTTCTTCTAGCGGTCAGCTTCTAGCTTCCTGATACACTACAGTCCAGTACAAGGATGGGCCAAGAGTGTTTAGACCACACATGGATTCAAATACTATTTGAAATATTTAAAATACTTTGAACGTGTGCTCTAGCCTGCCTGGAGTACGGGGTTTGCAGTTTTGGGTCTATCTATTGGTCCGTTAAGCCAGGCAAGCTCAATCAAGCACAGATGAAGTATTTGAAATTATTTCAAATAGTATGTGAACCCAGCTCTGGTTTGGAGGGCCAGCTGGGACCCTCACTGTGGATTCACCCCAACCAATCAGACATTGATCCCGCTGGCAGGCGGTGTAGGGCAGAGCAGCAAGGTGAGAAACAGAGAGGATAAGAGGCTCACCTTTCTTCCTGGCCGTGTCATCAGGGTCCAGATTCCTGCTAACTGTCACCACTTTGATGATGAGCCGGTTACCCCCGTGTCGGATCGTATTGACCACCTGTTTGTGGCCCACCTTCACCACATTTTCCTGGTTCACCTGCAAAACAGAGGACAATACACCTGGGAGTCAGTACAACATGAACCTTTAGGATTCAATTACTGGACAGAAATATAATATCGCAACCCTAAAATATATGTGCTGTAACAGCACGTATTCCATCAGATGATACATCTCTCAACAACAACTCACTATCAAGCTGATATGATCTTGGCAAAGTCAACATCACTTCAGGACTCAATGACTGGACAGAAATATAACATCACAACCCTAAAATATAGTGGTAACAAACCCTTATCCCAATGGACACAACTCTCCATCATCAAGCTGATCTGAACTTGGCAAAGTCAGAAAGTCAGCATCTCTTCATGACTCAATGACTTCCCTGAAATGTAAAACCACAACCCTTAAAATAGAAATGAAACAACCCGGCAAACTTGGCAAAGTATTGAGGTTTGACTGACATTGAAGGTGATTAGATATCTTCAGTTACATTAGCCACAGACCTGACAATACCTGTTATATCAGTGGTGTAGGTTTTTCAGTATTTCCTGCTCAGAGGTCTCTTGTGGTGGTTCAACCAGGTTTTATGGACTGATTCCAGCACAGTATTTCCTTCTTGGAGGTCACTTGTGGTGGTTCAACCAGGTTTTATGGACTGATTCCAGCACAGTATTTCCTGCTTGGAAGTCTCTGGTGGTATTTCAACCATCCTGTATTACAGATGTACTGTACACTCTTAGAAAAAAGGGTGCTATCTAGAACCTAGAAGGGTTCTTCGGCTGTCCTCATAGGAGAACCCTTTGAAGAACCCTTTTTGGTTCCAAGTAGAACCCTTTTGGGTTCCATCTAGAACCCTTTCCACAGAAGGCTTCTGAAGTTTGAAATTTCCACTTAGAAACTTAATTTTCCCTTACGTAAAATGCATCAACCCTTACAAAAATGTCCATTAGTTATAATCCACATAATAATTCACATTTCTTGTTGCTCAAATTAAGATCCTACAACTGTACACTGTGCTGCTGTGTAATGAACTGTTTAAGGACTGTTCTCAGTCCTGTATTTCCTGGTCAGAGGTGGTCTCTGAGGTGTTCAACCAGCCTGTGTTTTCACTGTGCTGCTGTCTAATGAATTGTTTAAGGACTGTTCTCAGTCCTGTATTTCCTGGTCAGAGGTGGTCTCTGAGGTGTTCAACCAGCCTGTGTTTTCACTGTGCTGCTGTCTAATGAATTGTTTAAGGACTGTTCTCAGTCCTGTATTTCCTGGTCAGAGGTGGTCTCTGAGGTGTTCAACCAGCCTGTATTTTCACTGTGCTGCTGTCTAATGAATCATTGTTTCCAGCCACTCAATCAGATCCTCAATCAGGCCCAGGTAACTTTAGCCACCGCTAGCTAAAAATGAATGGAAGTGATAGGGGCATCCCCTGTGACAAAAATAATCTGAAATCAACTCAATTTAACTCCATATTTGGTTTGATGTTACTTAAAAATGATTTGGCCTTTTAAATAAATGTTAAACAAACTGTGGCTCTAGTTAGCTGAAGTTTGTAGTGACTGTTTAAGACAACCGAACCATGGACTACAATTTCTCCTGGCCCATGGATTACTTACTGGGTGATGAACCATCTAACATCATGTTGTAAAATAGTGAACTACTCCTTTAAAAGATTTTACTGACTGTCCCACTCTTGAATACAAACATAAAAAAAACTGCTAATCCTAGCTATGCTTTCACTCATCTTCTTCTAATAACACAGCACAGTATGAGATCATCCTCTTCTAATAACACAGCACAGTATGAGATCATCCTCTTCTAATAACACAGTACAGTATGAGCCCATCCTCTTCCAATAACACAGTACAGTATGAGTTCATCCTCTTCTAATAACACAGGACAGTATGAGATCAGCCTCTTCTAATAACACAGTACAGTATGAGTCATCCTCTTCTAATAACACAGTACAGTATGAGATCATCCTCTTCTAATAACACAGTACAGTATGAGATCATCCTCTTCTAATAACACAGTACAGTATGAGATCATCCTCTTCTAATAACAGTACAGCATGAGATCATCCTCTTCTAATAACACAGTACAGTATGAGATCATCATCTTCTAATAACACAGTACAGTATGAGATCATCCTCCAGAGTACAGTATGAGATCATCCTCTTCTAATAACACAGTACAGTATGAGACCATCCTCTTCCAATAACACAGTACAGTACGATAACATCCTCTTCTAATAACACAGTACAGTATGAGATCATCCTGTTCTAATAACACAGTACAGCATGAGTCCATCCTCTTCTAATAACACAGTACAGTATGAGATCATCCTCTTCTAATAACACAGTACCGTATGATATCATCCTCTTCTAATAACACAGTACATTATGAGATCATCCTCTTCTAATAACACAATACAGTATGAGATCATTCTCTTCTAATAACACAGTACACCCCGATATCATACTCTTCCAATAACACAGCACAGTATGAGATCATCCTCTTCTAATAACAGTACAGTATGAGATCATCCTCTCCTAATAACACAGTACAGTATGAGATCATCCTCTTCTAATAACACAGTACAGTATGAGATCATCCTCCACAGTACAGTATGATATCATCCTCTTCTAATAACACAGTACAGTATGAGAACATCCTCTTCCAATAACACCGTACAGTATGAGATCATCCTCTTCTAATAACACAGTACATTATGAGATCATCCTCTTCTAATAACACAATACAGTATGAGATCATCCTCTTCTAATAACACAGTACAGTATGAGATCATCCTCTTCTAATAACAGTACAGTATGAGTTCATCCTCTTCTAATAACAGTACAGTATGAGATCATCCTCTTCTAATAACACAGCACAGTATGAGATCATCCTCTTCTAATAACACAGTACAGTATGAGTACATCCTCTTCTAATAACACAGTACAGTATGAGATCATCCTCCACAGTACAGTATGATATCATCCTCTTCTAATAACACAGTACAGTATGAGAACATCCTCTTCCAATAACACCGTACAGTATGAGATCATCCTCTTCTAATAACACAGTACATTATGAGATCATCCTCTTCTAATAACACAATACAGTATGAGATCATCCTCTTCTAATAACACAGTACAGTATGAGATCATCCTCTTCTAATAACAGTACAGTATGAGTTCATCCTCTTCTAATAACAGTACAGTATGAGATCATCCTCTTCTAATAACACAGCACAGTATGAGATCATCCTCTTCTAATAACACAGTACAGTATGAGATCATCCTCTTCGAATAACACAGTACAGTATGAGTACATCCTCTTCTAATAACACAGTACAGTATGAAATCATCCTCTTCTAATAACACAGTACAGTATGAGATCATCCTATTCTAATAACACAGTACAGTATGAGATCATCCTCTTCTAATAACATCTCAACCCTATACACACGTCCAGAGAAGAGGACTAAGCTAGGTAGACCCAGGTCTATCAAACACAAACACTTCAACCTGGCCCTCTGTCCTCTTCAGATACATAAGATAAATCCAACAGTAGAGAAAACCTACTTTACTAATACACCAGAACAATCTTACATTTGCCCTGAGAAGGATACTCGAATGTACAGTTGAAGTCAGAAGTTTACATACACTTAGGTTGGAGTCATTAAAACTCATTTTTCAACCACTCCACAAATGTCTTGTTAACAAACTATAGTTTTGGCAAGACGGTTAGGACATCTATTTTGTTCATGACACAAGTAATTTTTCCAACAATTGTTTACAGACAGATTATTTCACTTATAATTCACTGTATCACAATTCCAGTGGGTCAGAAGTTTATATACACTAAGTTGACTGTGCCTTTAAACAGCTTGGAAAATTCCAGAAAATTATGTCATGGCTTTAGAAGCTTCTGATAGGCTAATGGACATCATTTGAATCAATTGGAGGTGTACCTGTGGATGTATTTCAAGGCCTACCTTCAAACTCAGTGCCTCTTTGCTAGACATCATGGAAAATCCAAATAATTCAGCCAAGACCTCAGAAATAAATGGTAGACCTCTACAAGTCTGGTTCATCCTTGGGAGCAACTTCCAAACGCCTGAAGGTACCACGTTCATCTGTACAAACAATAGTACGCAAGTATAAACATCATGGGACCACGCAGCCGTCGTACCGCTCAGGAAGGAGACGCATTCTGTCTCCTAGAGATTAACGTACTTTGGTGCGAAAAGTGCAAATCAATCCCAGAACAACAGCAAAGGACCTTGTGAAGATGCTTGAGGAAACAGGTACAAAAGTATCTATGTCCACAGTAAAACGAGTCCTATATCGACATAATCTGAAAGGCCGCTCAGCAAGGAAGAAGCCACTGCTCCAAAACCGCCATAAAAAGCCAGACTACGTTTTGCAACTGCACATGGGGACAAAGATCGTACTTTTTGGAGAAATGTCCTCTGGTCTGATGAAACAAAAATAGAACTGTTTGGCCATAATGACCATCGTTATGTTTGGAGGAAAAAGTGGGTTGCTTGCAAGCCGAAGAACACCATCCCAACCGTGAAGCATGGGGGTGCCAGCATCATGCTGTGGGGGTGCTTTGCTGCAGGAGGGACTGGTGCACTAAACAAAATAGATGGCATCATTAGGAAGGAAAATTATGTGCATATATTGAAGCAACATCTCAAGACATCAGTCAGGAAGTAAAAGCTTGGTCGCAAATGGGTCTTCCAAATGGACAATGACACCAAGCATACTTTCAAAGTTGTGGCAAAATGGCTTAAGGACAACAAAGTCAAGGTATTGGAGTGGCCATCACAAAGCCCTGACCTCAATCCTATAGAAAATGTGTGGGCAGAACTGAAAAAGCGTGTGCGAGCAAGGAGGCCTAGAAACCTGACTCAGTTACACCAGCTCTGTCAGGAGGAATGGGCCAAAATTCACCCAACATATTGTGGGAAGCTTGTGGAAGGCTACCCAAAATGTTTGACCCAAGTTAAACAATTTAAAGGCAATGCTACCAAATACTAATTGAGTGTATGTAAA